AAAAAAAAAAAAAAAAAAAACTTCGGGATCTTTGACCTGATGATACCTCTCCTCCTGAGAAGCTCCCCTGCCCCCTCCACTAACAGGAAGACTTGCTTTAAAAAAAAAAAAATTTTTTTTCCAGTAAGAAAAAAATGAAACTCTTTTACACTACAGATACTACATTTGGAAAGCTAGCATACTCTCTCTCCCCCAATATGTGGATAATTTTTAGTCTGAAGTTCTGGCAAGAAGGACTTGGATTTACATTTGAGCACTGCGTAACAACTGCCTTAGAATGGATATTTAAGCCAATAGAAACAGAAATGACAACTTGGGAGGAAAGCATAGACAAAGGAGTAAGAACAGGGCCCAATAATATGCCATCCCTGTAGTCACTCATCAATTCTTCAGGCATAAGGCAGATGCAAGGGGCTGTGAGAAGCCAAATACTCCTGTGAGAGAAATCTGATTTTCCCAAGACAGATGAGAAGCGGGAGGCAGCAATCAGGTCATATGGATACTGGTGCTTCCTATGTGCCAGGTGCTGCTTCCAAGCGCTTTACACATATTAATTCTAGAACCTTCACAACATCCGCCTCACAAGATGGATACTGCCATCATCTCTGCTTCACATGAGGAAATCAAGGCACCAAAATGCATAGTTGCTAAATGATGGAGCAAGGATTCAAATTCAGGTAGCCTGGCTCCAAGAGTCCATGCCTCTAATATAACTTAAGAAAAGATGAGTCATTATATTAAAGAGACCAAAATCTTAAGCAAAGTTTTAAGTACATTGCCTGACACAAAAGAAATTATAATATATGCCAAATTATAATATATGCCAATATATGCTAATATGCAATATATGCCAATAATATACACTATAAACCAATGGCCACAGCTTAGGGGTCAACCCCACTGTGGGACTGAAAACAATCTACAGTATTAAAAATACCAAGTGAGAAAGACTTGAGCCAGTATGAAAAATGTTTTAAGATACATGTGTATATATACCACTAGCCTTCTTTGTAGGTATCAGAGGTTCTTCTTAAACCCGAGAAAAAAATTAATGCCTCTGAATAACTCTGAAGATGTAACAGGAGTTCCAAGGAGCTTAATTATTCAGGGAGAGGCCAATACGACCTGACTCTCTAATTACATTTTTGTGGCAACTGGAACCACTAGAAAATCAGGGCTTTTCTGACTCTGATGTCCTGAGAGGTCCAGGACTGTACAAGTGACTTATGGTTCCCAACTCAAGCATGAGTCAAGATCTCTAACTGATGAAACTATGACTCTTCTCAAAGGTTATCGAAAATGCTATCAATTGAATTGTTCTCCCATTTCTCTTGGACCTCTGGCTTCTGATTCTGCCAACTGTGGCCTACTAGAAAGAGATGTGGGGTCAAACCACTTTGGTCCAAGTTGTAGTTATAAGCTAGGTTACTTTGGTTCCTGTATTTATAAAACAATCCTATTACCACATCACCCTAAGACTGGGCAGCAACACCAAACAACTTATTTCAAATCCTACTCCAATTTAAAAGCAGTATACAAGAGTTACTGTTTTGCCAAAACTGACTCAAGTACAAGCAAGCCTCCTGAAATCTGTCTTCTCATTTACCACATGACTCCTAACAGGTGCCTAAATGCTGAGGAGATGAGGAACAATGAAATAAGCAAGGCAGAAGTTTCTTCCCAGATGGACAAAACCTCCTCTATCCACTCATCTCTCTACAATTCCCAGTGTAAATATAGAGAATCAAAACAGAATGCCACAGCTAGGTCCAAAAGTCCATGTGTATACCTGAAGAAAGGACAAATAAATATGGAAAAAACCTAACCACATTTCAGCTAACATCTTTCAAAGTATGGTAGGACAGTGACTTAAATTTAGAGTCAGACAAGTTCAGAATAGCTATAGAAAAGTATTAGAATACCTAGATTAATAAACTGTATACAATCTTGGAACCAATAAATAAGTGACTGTCTAATCTAATGTCCACCCAACCCTACCACTAATCAAAGACCTCTAAACTTTTCTATTCTGATGTTAATATGCCCATTCCTAAACACAAACACACCACACCTCTTTAAAATACAGTACTTAGAACTCAACTTCTTGCATAAGAGTATGGGGTTTACAGTTTCTAAGTCTCTCAGGTACTGGTGGTGGAAAGAGAAAAAACAAAACATCCCTATGGAGCTGGAGGGATATGGGCTGAGAAAACTCATCCTTTCTGTATTAACAACAGAGCAAACAGGGTAAAGGTAACTTAAGATTCCTGGAAGGTTGCATAGTGTTTAAGTAGACAAGAAGAGAAAGCCCAGAGGGAGAAGACACCAAAATTCAGAAATAATAAGTATAGACACCACAAAAAGGCCTAATGATAACTTTTGCTGGGTTATAAGCAAGTTTTATATAAGCAGTTCCATTGAAATTCATCATTTTTGTTCATAGTTCTTAGGTTTCTAAAAGCCACTCTTAGAAGTGCTGCTTCCTGGCCCAACTGCTTATCAACTGGAGAATGAAGATTTCTATCTACAGATAGAAATCTTCATTCTCCAGTTATATATATATAGATATATATCTATAGATATAGATATATATCTCCATTCTCCAGTTATATACAGATATATCTATCTATCTATCTATCTATCTATCTATTACTACTCAGCCACAAAGAATGAGAAACTACAAACATTTATAGCTAAATGGATGCACAATGTGGCCATACTCTTTGTTTTTTTTGGTTTTTTGGTACTGGAGATCAAACTCAGGTCCTTGTGCTTGCGAGGCAGGCAGTGGCACCACTGAACTAAATCCCCGGTTGTGGCCATACTCTGAAATAAATAGGACATATGTGTGTAAATACCGAATACTTTCTCTGGTGTGAGAAACTGAAAGTGTAAATAAGGATCAAAATGTATAACAGATAATGTGAAACAGGAAGAAAAAGGGCCAAAGTGGAAGGGAATGTGGGACGGGTGGGGGAAAAGAATAAATATGAGAAAAGAGAAAAATGGAAACAGTCTTTGTAAATAGGGAGAGGTTCAGGGGTTGAAGGGAAATAAGAACCAAGATATAACACATAAGTTATAAATTCCCAACGATGAATGTCATCATACTATATATCTAAAAATGTACCAATAAACTTAATGAAAAAAAAAAGCAAAAAGAAGTGCTGCTTCTAATCAAGCAAAGAGTAAAGGATTAGCTCAAAGGCTATTTCAGGCATGACATCCATATTTTCTATATTCAAATCACAACTTAGTCTGGGAAATGATTTATAAAATTTTACTAGGGGCTACTGCCAAATGGTTAGCATTTCAGGACTGCTTGAGATGGAATAACCCAAATTAGGATTTGTCCTGAAGAGAGTACCTAACACTTCATACACAGTATGAATAAATTCAAGATTCTTAGCCCAAACTGGGAAGGACATTCACGAGATGAGTTCTAGTTCTATTGCTGGGTTAAACTGAAAACCATTAATGGCGACTGATGGCAGAGCAGCTAACACAGCCATATTCTCTTCCCCTCTGCATGGCTACTTGTAAGACTTGAATAGGCTAAAGTGACTCCATGCTAATAGGCCAGACTGTGCTTCTTCATATGCTAATTGCTACCTTGGTTAACAGCCCGCCCAGGGGCAAATGGTTTGACAAAAGGTGACCCTAGAACATTTCCTGCATAAGATAAGCAATGAGTTTGCAGTCTTGTTCTGTGAATTCCCTGACTCTTTGTTTAGAAAAACCTTATAAAAAGTACCTCAGCCCCTGAGCAGTTGCCTCTCTGAGCCACCTGGCTCCGGGAGTGCCGTCTGGCCAGACTAATAAAGGTCTTTTACCATCTAGGCTGGTGTGTTCCTTCCTGGGTTTCTCGGTTCTCTGTTGTGTTCCCGGAGCCTCGCTGGGTGTTAGGGCCCAGCATCGTGGAGGCCTTTCGGCTGTTCATGCTCCGTGGAGTGGAAGTGAGACTTTAGGTCTTACATATTGGAGGCCCCAGCGAGATACCCAGGCGGGAACTGTAAATCCGGCCGAGAGTCTCTTTTGCTGGATCCAGCAGGAGATTCTCAGACACAGACCTTTGAAAGCCTCCGGAGGTAAGCTTTGTGCTGGCGGTTGCAACTGTCTTGTTTGTCAGGATC